ATGTAGGGAAGGGAGGATGAAGGAGACGAGCCTGGTACTTGAGGAGATGAACCGGAAGGGTTTTGTCCCTGATGAAGTAACTTATAACACCCTTGTCAATGGTTATTGCAAAGAAGGTAACTTTTACCAAGCCCTAGTTTTGCACGCAGAGATGCTGAAACAAGGCTTGTCGCCTAGTGTTATCACTTATACGTCGTTGATACATAGCATGTGTAAGGCTGGCAATTTGAATCGGGCAATGGAATTTCTTGACCAGATGCATGTTAGAGGGCTCTGTCCAAATGCTCGTACATACACAACCTTGGTTGATGGGTTCTCCCAGCAGGGGTTTATGAATGAAGCATATAGGATTCTGAGTGAGATGACTGGTAATGGATTCTCGCCATCGATTATAACTTATAATGCCTTAATTAATGGGCATTGCATTGCTGGGAACATGGAAGAAGCCCTTAGAGTCATCGAGGGTATGAAGGAGAAAGGCTTAGATCCAGATGTAGTGAGTTACAGCACGATAATATCCGGCTTTTGTAGAAGTTATAATATAGATGAGGCACTTAGAGTTCAAAGAGAAATGGTTGAAAAAGGGATTTCACCTGATACCATTACTTATTCATCACTAATCCAAGGATTTTGTGAGCAGAAGAGGACAAAAGAAGCCTCCGATCTTCTTGATGAAATGTTGAATATCGGTCTGCTTCCTGATGAGGTTACCTATACAACCTTGATCAATGCTTATTGTTTGGAAGGCGATCTGAAAAGGGCGCTTCACTTGCACCATGAAATGATTGAGAAAGGATTGCTGCCAGATGTTGTCACCTATAGCGTGCTTATCAATGGGCTTAACAAACAAGCTCGGACAAAGGAGGCAAAAAGGCTTCTGCTCAAGTTGTTTTATGAGGAGTCGGTCCCTAATGACGTAACCTACCAAACGCTTATAGAGAACTGCAGCAATGTCGAGCTCAGAAGTGTGGTAGCCCTTATAAAGGGATTCTGCATGAAGGGTATGATGGGTGAAGCCGATCAAGTCTTCGAATCCATGCTTGGGAAAAACCACAAGCCCGACGAAGCGGCATACAATGTCATGATCCATGGCCATTGCAGAGGCGGAGATGTTCATAAAGCGTACAACTTGTACAAGGAAATGGTGAAGTGTGGGTTTCTTCCCCACACTGTTTCGGTCATTGCCCTGGTTAAAGCATTGCACAAGGAAGGAATGAGTCGGGAATTGAATCGGGTCATAGAAAGCGTACTGAGAAGCTGTAAGCTGACGGACGCAGAGCTCGGGAAAGTTCTTGTGGAAATCAACCACAGGGAGGGAAACATGGATGCGGTTCTTGACGTGCTCACAGAAATGGCCAGAGATGGCCTCCTTCCCAACAGAAGAAGCGCATCCTTGCCGTTAAGTTGAGCTTTTTCTTTCCCGCGTTTGCCTCCAGATACCAACTTCTGCTTCTGAAGTTCACTTCATCTATCAGCATTGGATAATCAAGGAAAGGAGGAAGCTTCCAATCATGAGGACAGAAACCAAGAGACGTAATTTGATATCAATATTCAATATATTTGGTTATGGGAAATATTGTAAAAAAAAAAAAAGATTTTGTGTCCGGTGTTTTGAGTTGGTTGGAATCAGTTTACAGTTGAAGACTAGCTTATGGGCCGACTACTGTAAATCAAAGGGCCTTAATTGGGCTCAACACTTTGGGTATTATTATCAAATTTCTGTAACATCTAATAATTAATTATTAAACGGTATATCTGACCGAATATAGAGTATGCGAATACAAACCACGTGTATTGACAGAAAAAATCTGTAAAGAATCATATGGCGCAATGGATTAAATCCAATATCATATAGTATATGCATTTGACCGGTTCAAATAATACTTTTGGTTTATCCTCACGATAAGTGTATTGGACCGTCACTTCCACGGTAAGCGGATGACGTGGCAAACGCCATAGTATCGTAACCGATCGAGAAGGCGCAGGATAACGTTAATGATTATAAAATGCGCCTTAGGCGTATAGCGGCGGATCTGACGTGGGTAATCTGCAGATAACAACCACCACCGTATCTCAAAGATCCCGACTTTCGAGTGGCTAAGGGGAAAAAAAATCGGAGACGTAGTTTGGAAAAAAAAAATTGTCCACTGTGTTCATACTCATGAGGTCGCCCGTTAATTAATCCAATTCGTCGCCGAAGTTTTGCCGGAATTGCGTTTGAGATGATCGGTGGAGGGAGAGTTTACTGGGGAAGAAAGGTGGATGAGGAAGCGGACGCCTCGGCGGCGGTGTCGGCGGAAGACGGCGGATCCAACGGCGTCGTCGTGATCTTCGCCTGGAGCTCGATCAACGATAATCGGTTGAGAAACTACATCTATCTGTACTCTTCCCTCGGTTGGAATTCTCTTGTTTGCCGCGCTGATTTCCTCACTGCGTGAGTTTCTTTGTCTTTTCTTCGGGACTAATTCGCCCTCTGTTTGGTTTCCGAGAATAATTCGAGAAATTTTCTAGAGAGAGTGTTGGTTTTGGGTTTAGAATTGTCTGCGAGCTTTTGAAGAATCAGCTTCTGACTAGCTTAGGCTTGAAGAACTGCATTATCAGAAAGTTTTAGCTCGTTAATTCCAATTTCCATCCTAGTAGATTGACAGAATTGGGAATTCTGTGAGCAATTTTCTGGGAAACTTATGAATGTTTGGTGGTCCAATATTTTTGTACGGTGTCCCATTTCCTATCACATTCAAACACGGAGATATTCTCTGTTGTTTTGAAAACTTCCCAATTCAGATTGAGTTGATTCAACAAAAGTGGTTTATGTTTGATAAAGTTGCATACTATTTATGTTGTTTGTCAATTACGTGTAGGTTTTCCCAGGAGATGGCTATGTCTCTAGCTTATGCCCTTCTTGCTGAACTTATCGAGGTTGGTTCCGGTCAACTTTTGCTGCTCTTCTGGTCAATGTTTTGATGATTTGTGCAAAGGATATAAGTGTTTTTCTGTTATACGCTAAAATTAATCAGAATTGGTTCTCTCTGTGTGATGTTCAGCTTTTTTTTGTTCTTGCTGGATCCATGCCTGTATAATCTAAAAGTTAATGGTGCTGTAAATGTGCAGGAGCTAAAGATCAGACCATCTCCTGTAGTCTTCTTAGCTCTTTCTGGGGCTCCAAAAGCTTGCTTGTACAAAGTTTTCCAGGCAAGCTGAACGAATTAGATTTTTTTTTTAATCTCTCTTGTCTTGCCCACCTGTTAAGGTGTTGCCGTTGTGACCTTGAGGTCACGGGTTCGAGTCCTGGAAGCTCTTGCAGATATTTCTGCAAGGTAAGGTTTGCCTACAATACACCCTTGTGGTGGGACCCTTCCCCGCACCCCCGCTCAACGGGGATGCTTTGTGCACCGGGCTGCCCTTTTCTCTTGTCTTGCCCCCCTCTGCGCTTGTTTATATTTCTTCTAATCGGTATTTAGAATTTCTCAAATTATCACTAATGCAGGTAATCCAGGCTGCTTGTGAAGCTCATCTTCATTCGGTAAGATTTGTCTTTCATACAGTTTTCCGCTTCGTAGCATCTTAAGTTTCCATCTCAATGCAGTTTGTTTAAGATGTGGGGTAATGTGGTTCTTCTATGGCATCCATGTTTTTTTTTTTAAATTTGTGAAGGACGATAGCCAGTTGGTTAGGAATTGCCTTTCTGGGCATATCTATGACTCTGGTCCATTGGATTTTACGAGCGATTTCGGTGCAAAATTTGCTCTACACCCCACGATACAGAAAATGCCTGGGCCTGCAAGACTAGTTTCTTGGGTGGTGAAAGGGATTACTTCTGGTCTTGACGGTTTATATCTTACAAGATTTGAATCTCAACGCACTGAGTATTGGCAGGCTCTGTACTCATCAGTTGTGAGTATTCCTATGTGTTTTCTGATTTTTGTTTCTAAATTCACGTTCGGGCAAATATAACTTTTCCTTTGGTATTTATTTTCCAGGGACTCGGTGCTCCATATCTAATCTTGTACTCGGAGAATGATGAACTCACACCTCACCAAGTTATTTCCAGCTTCGCCCATCATTTGCAGGAACTGGGAGGACAAGTTAAAGTTGTGAAGTGGGACAATTCTCCTCATGCAGGTTCGTCATACTAAATTATATGATATGGTTGCAAAATACTCCATGCGATTTGTGCCCAACACTTTTACCCCCAAAAAGCTTGTCATGAAAGTCCTTATCGCAACAGAGTGGACATAATTTAAATTGCAAAATGAGAATTAGCCGGGACTCATTCTCATAGAGCTGGATCTAGTAAATGGTTATTCAACCTCCTTGATGTTACTTCTCAAGGTTACAGAATCTTAGCTTCTGCTCTTTTTTGCGCTTATGTTGAATCAGGACACTACACGCATTACCCTATCCAGTACAGGGCCGTTATTTCCAACTTCCTAGAAAAGGCAATGTCAACCTACTTGCAGAAAATCCGGCAGCATGGAGAGAGAGCTCAAAAGCACGATGAGATATCCGAGCTAATATGCGACCTCCAGAAAGCGGCAGTGAACTCTAACCAAAGCCTAAGAAGAGTAGCCACCGGGCCGAGCGACCACTTCTTCTTACCAAGCTCGGCGCCCTACCAAACCACGGACCCCACATCCTCACAAATTGAGCAGAGGGATGGATCTCCCTTCCGGTTGTCGCAGCCACACAGCATAAACGCACACAGCGTTCTTGGGCAGTTCTTATTCGACGCATGTGTTCCCAAGAACATTGAGGGATGGGACATCAGATTCACAGGCTCCTTGAATGGCCAACCCTACGCCTCTTCCTCTTCTCGAAAGATTTCAGACAACGGTTTCAAGAAGCGCAGTCTGCGTTCAAGATTATGAATATGACACACCCGAAAAGCCTTGTCCTAGAGAACATTTCCCAGCAGTCGCGAAGCGTGTGCTTCGACAAGTTTGGGTTTGAGGGACGTTTTACGGGAAACCCTCCACATGTTACCGACCACAAAGCGTGCGCACAGAGGGATTCAACACTCGAGGTATGTACACTACACTGGAAATGTGGAACATGTAAATATGGCGAAGATAATCACGTTCTAAGTTCTAACCTTTTGTCCAGGGATTCGATGAAATGTCGTCGTAGTACAATAATAAGCCTGGTAAGATAACGTATATTGTGAGATTATGTACATGATGACGTGTTAATAGAATGTGAGATAAGATAAGAGTATGGTAATTGGACAGATCTCATGTGCACGTTTTAGTGTACTCTATGTTTAGGAATGTCTCCGGTTCGAGCGGAAGCTCTCTTCGTCTTTCTCATACCTCACTAAACCCTAATTCTAAACCCCTAGCCCTAACTCTAACCGTAGATTGATATTCAAAATCAGAACGAAACAGGAGTTTCTTAGTACAATGTCTTCTCGGGTTCTGATAATGATTTTTCTATATATTATGTTAACATGAATGGTTCCACGGATATATATATATAGATATATGGGGTAACCTCAATATTGTAAACTATGTAGTATATGGTGTGCCATTTTTCTCTTGTGAAGACTTAAATGCCTTTGCCAGAGACTTACCACACTATTGAGCACGTGATCTCCACGTGACATAATGACTACACGAAGCTGATTAATGATTATAATAGAGCCAAAGGAAAGATTTTTGCCTTTTGTTCATTAAAAAAAAACTCTTAATATAAAATGGTAATTAACTTTAAAACACGATTGAGCGGTTGTTACAAAAGGGAAACAAAATCCAAAAGTGAATATTCATCATCACCGTCATCGTCTCGAATTTTCTTTAACGTCTCTCCAATTAGGGTTTTTCTAAGGGGTTTTGGATTCACCATCTCCGCAGCAAAGACGCAACAATGGCTTCCTCTCTCCTAGCGATTCGCCGCGTACGGCTCCCTGAAACGACGGAGATCGTTTCTCTGATCAAGTTCCGGTATTTTTCTCTTCTCCGATCCTCGTATTCCACATTCGGTCACTGTCCGAGGGCCAAAACCTTATCCCTCAACACAGCCTCTGTCAATGGCCTGAGCACTTACGCCGTCACCAACCATTTCGCCGGAAATCACCCGGCGGCTCCTGCTCCTGCTCCTGCTCTTCCTCTTCCTCCGCCGCAACAACCACGATTCGGTTATCAGGGGTTACAGACTCAGGGCAACCCCAGTTCCAGCTATAATCAGCGTTTTCCGCAGAATCAGAGCAGTCACCCCATTCCGTTCAATCATCAGAATCAGGGATGGGGTTATCCGAATCGTGGAATTTCTAACCAGGTGCCGCAAAACCCAAGTCAATGGAATTATCCGCAGAAAACACCGACCCAGAATCATGCGCACCAACACGGAATCCCATATCAGTGGAACAATCAAAATCGGGGGCAGTATCAATACGGAAGCTCGAATCAATGGCATGCGCGAGGGCAAACCCCTAATCAGCCGAATAACCGGAGCAACCAGTTTCAAGGTCATGCGGTGAACTCTGCTTCTGGAGTGGCTCAGCCTTCTCATCCTCCTTCTGTGGATGAGATAATGCTTCTGTGCCGAGGGAGGAAGTACAAAGACGCCATTGAATTGCTTGATAAGGGAGCGAAGCCTGATGGAGAATGCTTTGGTATCCTGTTCGAGTCTTGTGGGAATCTCAAGTCGGTTGAACACGCGAAGAAAGTGCATGATCACTTCCTCCAGTCTAGATTTAGAGGTGATATTAAGCTGAATAACAAGGTGATCCAAATGTACGGGAATTGCTGCAGTATGACTGATGCGAGGAGGGTTTTTTATCACATGCCGAATAGGAATATGGATTCATGGCATCTGATGATGGGCGCATATGCTGGTAATGGAATGGGCGATGATGGGTTGCATTTGTTCGAGGAAATGAAAAAATCGGGGTTGAAGCCAAATGAGGAGACATTCCTTATGGTTTTCTTGGCCTGCACTTCTGCGGATGCAATAGAAGAAGCGTTTTTGCACTTTGAATCTATGAAACATGAACATGGAATCAATCCAGGGACAGAACATTACTTGGGGCTTTTAGATGTTATTGGAAACTGTGGACAGCTTATTGAAGCTGAAAAGTACATCCGAAATCTGCCATTTGAAGCCACAGCTGTTTTCTGGGAAGCTCTGAGGAATTATGCTCAGATTCATGGAGATATCGATTTAGAGGACTATGCAGAGGAGTTGATGATCAACCTTGATCCGTCTAAGGCCGAAACCAACAAAATCCCTACCCCTCCACCAAAGAATCGGAAAGCTGTCAGCATGCTGGAGGGTAAGAGTCGGATCCTCGAGTTTCGAAATCTGACCCTTTACAGGGACGAAGAGAGAGCAAGAGCAGCAAAGAAAGGTACGGTATATGTGCCCGACACCCGATGGGTTCATCACGACATCGACGAAGAGGCCAAGGAACAGGCACTGCTACACCATTCCGAGAGACTGGCAGTTGCTTACGGCCTGATCAGCACTCCACCCCGACAACCTCTTACGATTAACAAGAATCTCCGTTTCTGCGGGGATTGTCATAACTTCTTCAAGATCATGTCTAGGATCGTCGGTAGGGAGCTGACCGTTAGAGACAACAAACGGTTCCATCACTTCAGAGGCGGAAAATGCTCTTGCGGCGACTACTGGTAGTCTCTCTCTCTGCTCGCTCACTCGGGCATTTGTTGCTTGAGAGTTTCACACGAGTATAAATGCTAACAAACAAGCCTCTGTTTTTTTTTATTTTTAAATTATTATATGCTGTGAAACTCATTGCCGAAAGTTTGGTATGCATTTTGCTTTCAGACATCTGTTAGTTCGGATAAAGTTCAGTTTTTTTTTAAAAAAAAAATCTTGTACCTTCAACAAGAGTATTCTGTGGTATTTGAGTATTTCTTGCATTACAAGAAACCTAGCCAAGAATCGGATTTCTGCCCGTTGTAAACATCTGTTGGCAGCAAGGATGAGAATGTTGTGTGTATATATATATATGCTGTTTTATTTTCATGGCAAAGTTTCTTCATTTCTTGCACTCTTGTTCATGTCCCAGGTTGTTGTAATATTAATGTATGAAAATTTTCACTATGAAAAGGACCTAAACAAAGAGAGAGAATATATTATTTTGAATATATATATATATATATATATATATATGTATGTATATATCACTCAGTAATTGCATATATTTCATTGCCACCTACATTATGTAACCCTGTAGTTGCTTGAATTGGACCCAGAAAAAAAAGCCCCCAGAAAGCCATTGTAGTCACTTTCTCTTGCTCTGAACTAAGAAAAGCAGCCCACAAGAAAAGTCTTTGGTTTTGTACATACAATGTTAAATCGTATACATACGGTATACGATTTAACCTTATACGTATCAAACCAATCTGTCTTATCAAAAACCTATATTAAGTACGTATAGTAACTTAACTTCCCACCTATAAATGAGATTTGAATCCCAGAAAAAAGGGGACTCTTTCAAAGAATCATCAATGGTGTCCCCTGAATCAGAAGAATCTCAGTTGCCAAAATCCATCATCATCTTCACCATCCACTCCTCCGTCTCTTCCTCTCCTCCTCCATTACCCATCTCTCCTCCGCCTCGCCATTGCTCTGTTTCCGCTTCTGCCCCGTGCGAACTGGCACTGGCACTCGTATCAGCCGCAGAAGCGTAGTCTGTAAACGGGAAGTTGAGCTTTGCGTTTTGCCCACGGAACCCAATGGCGGCTCTGTCGTAAGCCCTGGCAGCTTCCTCGGCCGTCTCGAACGTCCCGAGCCATACACGTGTCGCTCTCTTAGGGTCCCTGATCTCTGCCGCGAACTTTCCCCAGGGCCTCTGCCTCACTCCCCTGTATCCATCCTTCTTGTATTTCCTCTTCCTTGCCTTCCCGCTCTCCACTCGTCCAGCTCTCTTCGCCGCACTCTCTTCTTTCTCTGCTTCTTGTTCTTCGATCCTCTGGTTTGGCGGGAAGAAGTAGTTGCAGCCCAGACATCCCTCGATCCTGCAGACCTGACACGTGTCGGAATCCGACAGAGGCATTGATGCGCTGATTACTGTGCTCTGTTCTGTGAAACCCTGGAACATCGCCATTTCCTCGTGGGGGATGCCGTGTTTCATGGCCGAGACGATGCCGGAAAGCTCTTGCTCCGGCGAGAGCTGCCACTGAGGAAATGGATACTGGTACGGGTAAGGATACCAGTTCCGGGTCGGGTCAGAATCTGACGCGGAGGCTTGAGCTCCGGGGAATTCGGGTCTCTTGTCGGGATATCGCATTGCCATTTGTTTTTTTTTTTTCAAGTGTTGTTGCTGTGTCTGTTGAGTTCAGGAAGGAAATGTTGAGGCTGGTCTGAGAGCGTGTCGGTGACTGGATGAGATATATATATACATATGGATGCATAATCTGAGGATGCTTACGTGGCACTGCCAACTGAAACACTAATTAGACACGGATTACGTCGCCGCTTTTTTTTTAATAAAAAAACACGTGCGTTAATTTCCTCTAAGCAAGTTATCATTTGTAAATGTGCTTTGAAAACGACATTTTAGATGCAGCTTCGGCGCCCTCTTCACAGACCATTTTATTCCCATAAAAAAAATGTTGGTGATGATTTGAATTTATCCAAATATCAAAACCTTAATTTTTTTTTGTTTTTAAAACTATGTTTTTATCTTTACCTTGAATTAAAATATAGGATAATTATCTGTAAATAATAATTGAATTGACAAGGTATAATAAATATTTTTATTTGAAAGAGAGAGAGTGCAAAAGAATAATATGCAAAAAATGAACATCCTGAAAACGCCGTCCTCTTTCTAAAATTCTGTGGGGGAGTCAAAGGAAAGTTTGTGAGGCCAACATGAGATGACGTGTATGCTGAGCTGGCATTCCCCAATATCACATTCACACGCATCAGTGTGTTGACTCTCTCCTCACTCTTATCGTTGACCTTGGAGAAGATTTTGTGAAGCAGAAAGTGCGTTGATTCTTTATTATTATTATTATTATTATTATTATTATGGTAAATTATTACTATTATGATTATTATTGTTGTTGTTGTTGTAATGTTATGATTATTCCTCCTTCATTACATTACACTTTCTAGATCCTTAATCGATATCATTTTTAATATTTCCTTTTTCATATGATTAAATTATTAAATTATGGGATTTGCAGAATATTGATCAAAAGATCGGTTTACGACTATAGAGACATTTTTATGGCAAATATTTCTTTTTTCATGTGAATACTCCAAAATTTTATATATTTTTATGGCATATTTTTTCCTTCCTTTAATATAAACAAAAAAAAAAATATTTTCTTCAGGTGGACGGACACTCCAAAAGTTTAGTCGCTCTCTTTAAATGATATAATATATTTTTTTTATAATAAAAGGTGACCCTAGATGGGGCCATACTCAAGACGGAAAGACATTTTGTACTTTCACCTTCACGTTTTTTATATTATTAAATTATTATATTTTGGGATTTGCAGTATATTCATCAAAAGAGCGGCTATGGAGACATTTTTATGGCATATGTTTCCTTTTTTAAATATAAATAAAAATTATTTTCTTCATGTGAATACTCCAAAATATTTAGTTTTTTTAACAAAAAAACTAAACATTTTAATTTAAAGATAAATATAACTCTCGAAAATTAAAAAAGGAAGAGATAATGGTATTATGAATCTGGTATGGTTTGAGCGTTAGGGGGGAATTTAGCTCTCTCTTCTGAGAGAACCCTAGCCGCCGTCCAAGCCAATCTCCTTTCTTTCTTTCTTCCCGCCGGCCGGCCTTTGCCGGCCGGAAACCTTCCACAGAAACTCATGGAACCCAAACTACAAAATCTCACCCAAACCATTCCATCTCGTTCAGACACTACTACTTCTTCTTCACCGCAACAAATCCACATTTCTCCAAGTCCAATCCCTAGCCCACAAATTCCAGATCCAAGGACAGACTCGCAATTGGCCCCTCTGGAGCTGGCTCCGACTCTTCCGTCAAACAACTCTCCTTCTGCCACAGATCTGGTTGACAGTCATGATGCAGCAGTAGAAAATGTCGTAAACTCTAAACCAACTTGGAGCCAAAAGCTCAAATCTTCCTTGCGTTATCTGAAGCGCACAGGAGAGCCTCAGATTCACTCATCTGGTGTCCCAATGATTGCCATTCCGGAAGAGTCCCTCCTCCAATCCAAGAAAGAATGGGAGAATTTCATCATCGGTAAGTTTTATGGAGTTTCCCCTGGAATTGGGAGAATTATCGGTTTTGTAAATTCCTTGTGGGTAAGGAGTGGTCAGAGAATTCGTGTTCATGCCATGGGCAATGGCTCCTTTCTATTCAAGCTTCCGAATCTTTCTGCCAAAAACCACGTTTTAGGCAGAAGCTTCTGGCATATAGGGGACTGTATGATGTTTGTTTCAGAATGGGATCCGGATCACGACCCTGAGAAACCAGCCCTTAGCTCGATCCGTACTTGGGTTGAATTCAGGAATGTACCACCGAAGCTCTTTAGCACTGATGGGTTAAGTCGAATCGCTACTTGCTTGGGCGAGCCACTCTATCTTGACAGAGCCACCGAGGCGAAAGATAATTTCACGGTTGCAAAGGTGTATGTGGATGTCAATCTCCACCCTCGCCCACCAAACAAAATCATCCTGAATTTACCAAGGGGAGAGGAGAAAACAATCGACATATCTTATGCATGGCTTCCCCCGGTCTGTTCACATTGCAATGAAGTGGGTCATAATTTGAAGCATTGTCCCCAGACCCCACTCGAGCCGCCAACTCCCGCCCCTCCCAATAACTCTGAAATCCCCCTCTCGTCAGGAGCTGTCAGTCATCAGGGGTCACCACTACCAACCCCCTTGGATCCACCAGTTTTGTCTAAGGAGCCGATGCTTACAATAGGCCAACAACTAGTACCTCAGTCTCTTCATCAAAATCTTTCGGAAGCCTCCACCTCTGAAAAAATTGCATCGGCACCACTTGGCCAGCCGCATATAGCTAGCTCTGACCAAGAGTTTACACCGGTGAAGACTAGAAGAAGAGGTCGTGGTCGCGGTCGCAAGACCGCTGGTCGGAACTAACCTTTTGTTTTTCAGGATTCCATGATATTTTGTTGGAATACACGAGGGCTCAATAGCCAAAATAAAAGTCAGGGCGTTAGAACCTGGATTTTGAAGAACAACCTGATAGTCGGTGCACTTTTGGAGAGTCATATTCATGAATCAAATATGTCTCGCATTTTTGCTGCCCTCCCGAACGGTTGGAAATCCTTTTCCAATCACTCATCAGACCCATCAGGGAGGATTTGGATCGTATGGAGACCCGATATCATGGTTACTATATATCATGTCAGTGATCAATCAATCACCTGTGGAATAGAACATCAAGGCTTCAACTTCAAGACCACTATAACCTTTGTATATGCGAGGAACCAGCCATCTGAGAGAATCTCACTTTGGAACGATCTTCGAGAGATAGCCGCCTACCCACCGATGATCAGCAAACCCTGGATACTGATGGGGGATTTTAATCAGATGCTCAGACCCGAGGATCGATCAGATTTTCCTTATGTCCACTCCCGCTCCCAAGGTATGTCAGATTTTTCCTCATTTCTCGAGGATGTGGGGTTGTTTGACATCTGCGGAAAAGGCCATAGATTCACATGGTGGAATAACCAGCGTGCAAACCCAGTGTCATTTAAGCTGGACCGCGTCCTGATTAACGAACCGTGGTTTGACTGTTTTCCCGATGCATATGCGGATTTCTTATCCCCGGGGCTATCTGACCACACACCCTGTCTCTTGCATTTTCCCAGCATGCTCGGCCAGGCTAGAAGGCCTTTCAAGTATTTTGACCACTTGTCACTTCACCCTACCTACTCTAACATCATCAGCCAGCATTGGGTTTTTGATGATATTTCAGGTTCTAAGCAGTTCAGGTTCTGCCAAAGTCTAAAGCTCCTCAAGGCCCCGTTGCGCAGATTGAATGCGCAAAGTTTTAATCAGATATCTCAGAGAGCTAAGGAAGAGGCTGCTAAGCTTGAAAACATTCAATCTGCCTTGCTTAGTTCGCCGACTACCTCTCTAGCTGATGAAGAGCATCAAACCAGGCAGAATTGGACTTGGCTTCTTCAAGCGGAGGAGCGCTTTTTCCGGCAAAAGTCAAGGCTAACCTGGCTGAAGTTGGGAGACAGAAACACTGCGTACTTTTATAACACAGCAAGGTTAAGGACATCCTATAACCATATTCATTACTTGACTGATGGTAATGGGTGCAGGTTAACAGACTCAATCAGCATCAAGACCCATGCTGTACAATTCTTTTCAGATCTGATTGGTTCAGTGGACCCAAGGATTTCTCCTCCTCCTACATCCTGGATTGCAAATCTCTTTCCTGAGGTCTGTCCAAATCAACTGAAGCACGATTTGGTAAAAGAGGTTACTGTAGAAGAAATAAAACAAGCATTTGACAGCATGCCCCGCAACAAAGCCCCAGGCCCTGACGGCTTTCCAAAGGAGTTCTTTCTTTCTTCTTGGGAAACTGTAGGTAACAATCTAATCGAAGCTGTCCAAGAATTCTTCCACTCGGGGAAGCTATTAAAGGAAGCTAACGCAACAATCATAGTGCTAGTCCCCAAGAAGCCGGAAGTGACAGAGCTTTGTGATTATCGACCAATTAGTTGCTGTAACTTTTTCTACAAAATCATCTCCAAGGTGCTTGCAAATCGTCTGAAATTGATTCTTCCTTGGGTAATTTCGGACAACCAAGCTGCATTTCAGAGAGGTCGGAATATGTTGGACCACATCATGCTAGCTTCGGAACTAGTAAGAGACTATAACAAACCTTCTACCAAGCCGAGCGCAATGCTGAAAATAGATATCAGGAAGGCGTTCGACACAGTGAGTTGGGGTTTTGTCTTGGCTGTTCTTGAGGGATTAAAAATTCCTAAGTCTTTCATTGATTGGATTTGGGAATGTATCTCCACTGCTCGCTACTCAGTAGCCATAAACGGGGAACTAGCGGGGTTTTTTCCAGGAAAGCGCGGTCTTCGTCAAGGCGACCCGTTGTCTCCCTACCTATTCATTATATGTATGGAGGCTCTCTCTAGATTGTTGGATAATGCAATGCTCAAAGGAAGGATCAAGGCTCATCCAAGGTGCGATTCTCCACTTATCTCTCATCTTGCTTTTGCTGATGATTTAATGGTCTTTGTTGAAGGCAAATCTGAAGCGATTAATGTGGTCAAAGAGCTGTTAGCCGAATTCAGTGCTTACTCGGGGTTGATTTTGAACGCGGCCAAGTCGGAGTTATTTCTCGGTGGAGTCTCGCAGTCTGTGGCACATGATATTTGTTCTACTGTAGGTTTTCGCCAAGGCACCTTACCGGTCCGCTATTTAGGCGTTCCTATAGGACCTTGGAGGTTAATGAGAGACGACTACAAGCCGCTGGTGGAAAGAATCAGAAAGAGGCTCACAGCTTGGACATCGAAATACCTATCTTACGCAGCAAAAGTGGTACTCATCTCGACGGTAATCTACGGCATGGTTAATGCATGGAGTAGGGCCTTTCTGCTACCAAAATTTCTACTCCGCGAGATAGATCGACTATGCTCTACCTTTCTATGGAAGAGCTCCATTAACTGTCAGAACTCGGCCAAAGTTGCATGGCCCTTGGTTTGCTTGCCGAAAGAAGAAGGAGGGATGGGAATTCGTCGCCTAGAGGATTTCAACACTGTTTTCCGACTCAAAAGCATATGGTTAATTTTCAAGGAATCAGGCTCGTTATGGGTAGCGTGGTTGAAACGACACATCTTCAAGCGCAAAGGGCTATGGGGGACAAAGCCTTCACCTAAGCACTCTTGGGGGATCCGCAAACTCTTGATGTTTAAACACAAGGCTGCTGATTTTCTACATTGCAGGTTAGGCGATGGAAACACAGCCCTCTTCTGGCATGACAATTGGACGGGTTTGGGGCCACTCATCAAGTATGTGGGAGTGGAGGGCCCTAAGCTGCTGCGTATTCCTCTTTATGCAAAGGTCAAAGCGGCGTCAAAAGGCTTAGAGTGGAATCTTCCCGGGGCAAGATCAGATCGGATCCAAGTGGCCCTTACTCGGATTTCGGCCATCCCAGTTCCGTCGAGCGAATCTGGCAAAGATTGTTTTGAATGGAAAGCAACGGCAACGGAATACAGGGATACCTTTTCCTCCTCCGCCACCTGGAAGTTGATCCGCCAACAAGCTCCGGTGGTACCGTGGCACTCTATGATATGGTTTTCACTATCCACTCCGAGACTCAGCTTCATACAATGGCTAGTGCTCCTTCATCGTCTTCCAACAAGAGATCGCCTCGCTCGATGGGGACTCCTCGACAATCCCATGTGTGTTCTCTGTCAACTAGCCCCTGAATCTCATTCTCATCTTTTTTTTGATTGTTGCTATAGCCGAGATGTGTGGATTCCCTTTGCCTCTGCGTGCTTCCAGTCTCCGCCGTTGGATGTTGATCAATGCTCATCTTGGTTAGCCGCTCAACCCCAAGCTCGCTCAAGCACTAGAAAATCCTTTGCCAAGCTAATTCTTCAAGTAGCCATCTACCTCATATGGTCTGAACGGAATGCTCGAATCTTCAAAGGCGAATCGTCCCCTGCTGAAAAGACTCGGTTAACTCTTGACAGGTTTGCTCGAGACATTATTCTCTCGCGGAAATCCTCTACGTCGGCACACCCTTGGAGCTTGATGGATGATTGGTTACTGGTTACATCTACGATCCAAATTCTCTGAAACGGTGATTCACTTTTGTAGTCTTTGATTTTGCGATATGGAATCCTTATCTTTTGGGTTAGTTCCGGTGATCAACCGGTTTTGTATACAAACTTGATCTATTAATACATTTACCTTTACCAAAAAAAAAAAAAAAAAAAAAAACATTTTTTTTTAATGGGGGAAAAAAATGGTCTGTGAAGAGGGCGCCGAAGCTGCACCCGACCAAAGTGTCGTTTTCAAGCACATTTCCTTATCCATGAAATAACGCCACACTATTTATCCATGTCAACATATCCAATTATCCACTGTTTCGCAGCGCCATCCCACATCGGAAGTCATATCATATACCACAAATTTTTTTTATGACGGTGTAACGCGGAACAAATACGCCGGATAATGGATTTTTCAATGCACACTCTCGAACCATGAGCCGTGAAAGGGCAACAAATTAATAAGAGCAAAATCACGAAGATGGTTCCTCTCTTTCCGAAGAAATATCAAAATATGCTACTAATCTAATCCTCAGATACAACACGACACGACACAAAGCCCTCTCTGTCTGAATTAAGCATTCGTGGGGCTTTTACACGATCTTCCATTTCGACACTCTGGGTTCTGGGTCTTTCAGATGGCTTCTCTTCTTTGTCTTCGTCTGTGAAGTTCTGACCTGACGCCTCTGGCCACATACATACACGAATGAAAAAGAGTTATTAAAGACTGATATCGTTCTTTACTTTCTTCTTCTTCTTCTTCAGCAACGATGAATGAGTGCTATAGGATACGATTATTCAAGTAAAAATGAACCAAAAGCCAAGCCAATGCAAGTCAGCTGTTCTACACAGCTTTGAACAAAAGATCAGCGAAAGTTTCCTAGTTCAGTGAACGGAGGCACAAAGCTTCTGTTCTGTCCCGAGTTCAAATATCAAATTTGGGGAAGGGGTGTATACTCCGATTCACCACATGGTTGACCTTTGATTCCGAAATTAATTTGGACCTTGGTTCAAGATACTTGGTTACCAAAAAAAATGCCTACTTTGAAGGACAGAACTGCCAACATACATCATCCGTCTCCGTCACCTATACCGCTTCAGTTCTAAATCTTAGTTAATTGTAACTCAGCGTAGGATCTCCTATAGAGGGTAACTTTAACTAGACTTAAAAGCCATGATTACCTGCAGTGTTTTCTGTCGAACATTCATGTCCTACTGGATTTCTCAAGGATGTTCCGGAAAACGCCTTGTCACTAGAGGGGATGGCTTCCTTGTTACATGGCAAATTTACTCGGACAGCGGTTGTCCTAGTGTAACTTCCACTGGGTTCTGCAGAACGGCTCGTCAATGGATTTTCACGGAAATAAAAGTCAGATGACAAGTCCGAATGAGTTATCTTTGTCCCAAAGCTAATCTTCTGCCAGCACCCGTTTTGCAGGACAGAAAACTGCGAAATATGAATGCCAAAATGGGCAGTGAAGAGTACAGTCAAATGGGATCTCAAAAAGTTTTGATGACAAACTGAGTCAAATCCCCAAACTGATCAGTGGATCTGTAAGAGTTGGCTGGCGGATCATGAGTTCTAAATGATCTCCCAGTCTTTCCTTCCATCAGGCAGTACAACTGCCTAACAAATGATTTCTCCAAATAATCAAGATATGAACTGTGTTTCTCATTGGTCCAACCACTGCATTCATCCTGCAGATGGAGGTGATAAGAAACAATGACAATTAGACTCATTATGCCGAGAAGAATACCGCAAGAAAAGAACAGGTTTACCTCTTGCCAATGAATAACTAAACCATCATAAGGCAATGAAACATGGGTGAGGGTTTTATGCAGACATAGAAATGCCTGCGCTGAAGCTAAAATCACAGCCAGTTTTCAGCTGCAGTTCAAGGGGTCAGTTTCAGAATGCCCAATGTTTCTCGAGAAAGATGAATCCGTCCTATTAACGCGATCCGCCGTAACATGGAGTGATCTAGATCGATGAAAACGATGCCTAAGAGAACTCCACAAAAATTTCCAAGAAACAATTTTCTATATCCGATCCACCAGTCAAACTTCTCGTGGCCAAAACAGGGTCATGTTCATATACACGATCTCATGGAGACAGCCACACATAGAGAACTGTGACTCATCGTGACAGCAACACTCCATCTGTTCATGGAAAAGCATGAAACAGACAGAACATTGAAAGACTGGGACCGCAGGCAAAACAGCAGCATCTAATGCAATTACAAAGCTTAATGGTATGTGCATCTCGACAAGGAATCTAGCAGAAACCCACCAAATTTGGAAGCCAACACTTCCTTTGTGATCGTAGACAGATAAGAGATAGTGAACAAACTACCTCAGAGATGGTAATTGACCTCATTGCATTACCATTCCAAGCCAACTTTCCGACAGGAAGAGCACGTTTGAAGAAGAGGAACATGGACTTCATCATTAGAGATTCCACAAAAAAAGAAACAAGAATCATAAATATCATTTCCTTGATTTTGAAATGAGTATAACTTACTCAAGGCATCTGATCTCAATTTTCTCGCTTAAATGACTTGTAACGTTAAAAAGCTTCCTCATCATTTCTGCTTGTGGGTTACTTCACTTTCAAAGATATCCAAAATCAAATAAAAGAAAACACAGAATTGAAATCCGGAGGAAATAGATTCAAAAAAATCATAAAGAAGCGACGAAAGGAATGGTGTTCTCATCAAGCTAATGGCAACGCAAAGAAAAAACAGCAATCTGATGAACCTCAACAAATATCAAACGAGGCCCCAAAAAAAAACTCGAGAAGAAGAACGGACCAAAAACGATAAGAAATCGCATTACCGGTCTCGCATCCTCACCGTCGCACGACTCGCACGAGCACCAACGCGAGCTCTCGACCGTAACACCCGACTCGAGCGAGTTCCACCGGGTCGACTCGCTCCGAGACTCCGCCGCCGCCGGAGATCCCGACCCGCGATCGGACTCGGGATGAAGAAAATTCACCGTAAAGTCATCATCCATCGTTAGTTATCTCCCGGTGAGCTCCGATCAAACTAGTCCACCTGAAAAATCTTCGCCTCGGAAATGTTCTCCTTCCTTCTAAGAGGAGCCTAAAAATAAAACAAAAAACTTGACACGAAGATGGAGAGGAGAAAAAGGAACTCGCCCACATGGCGACGCTTTTACACGTGGCACAAAGATTCTACAGTGAATGAACTTATAGTTTTGAATTTAAAAAGTGAAATCATAACAAAAGCGCTCGTGGCCTAATGGATAAGGCGTCTGACTTCTAATCAGACGATTGTGGGTTCGAGTCCCACCGAGCGTGTTCTAGAAGCCACGTATTTTATTTTTCTAAATTTAGAGTAATAAAAATTAAATTGGCAAAAATATTTTACACATATAGGGATACGTATTACGTATATATATAGGTATATCTTATAGTCATTTATATCCTACTGCAAAATAATAAAATTAAAATCCGAACACTCGGAAGCTGGCGTAGACCAATTGGACTCTCTTTCACCGACTCCTCTATGAATTCTGGGCTACAAAGCCCAAATCCAAAGATCATATCATATCATATATATATATGTATATAATAGTTTCCCAGTTCTACATGATTTTACGAGGATCCAGCAATTAGTATATTTGCCCTCTTTCTTCAATTTTCCCGAGAAAATCCGATCAGGGGAAAAGCTTGTTCCTTGGCATCACTCGTGTGTTGTTATTATTTTTGCGGTGTTGATCTTGGAGATCTGTGCTTTTCCCGTTTCTTCTCGTTTAGGTATTGCTCTTTTCTGTCTGTCTTTCTTTTATCAGTTGATACCAACTAGTTGTCGGAGATTCATCGACTACGATCTTGCTTTTCATCTACTCGTGGTCTAATCCCGTTTGGTTGCCGAGAAGAAAAATCTACAAGTGGAACTTTCTGGGAGCTTTCGGTGGGATTATCCGACAACAAATCGGATGATTAGTCTTCTCATATGTAGCTGAAACCGTACTTGACCGACTGACGGCGTAATTCGGAGGATACTAGTGTGTTCATCGGATTCTATCTGCTTAATTATATGATTTCTCCAGCATATTCTGTTCATAGGCCGTCGATGTAATCATATGTTTTCTCATTTCCAGGAGGAGCGTCTGATGATACCGTCGAAGCTTATGTCTGATTCTAATGCATCAACGCCCATAGCTTCTCCGGAAATGAAAACCGTTCAATCCAGTTCAACGTTGCAGAACCGCTGTTCTTCGGATTCGGATGGCCCCCTGGCGATTCTCTGGGACATCGAGAACTGCCCTGTCCCGAGCGATGTGCGCCCTGAAGATGTTGCCAGCAACATAAGAATGGCTTTGAGAGTGCATCCTGTCATAAACGGTGCAGTGGTTGTGTTCTCGGCTTACGGAGATTTCAACGCGTTTCCTCGTAGAGTTAGAGAAGGATGCCAGAGGACGGGGGTTAAACTCATCGATGTACCCAACGGTAGGAAAGACGCGGCCGATAAGGCTATATTGGTCGACATGTTCTTGTTCGCTCTGGATAATCCCCCGCCGTCTTCTATCATGCTGATATCAGGCGATGTTGATTTTGCACCTGCCCTTCACATACTCGGCCAACGTGGCTACAATGTCATCCTTGTCATACCTCCCCGGGTGGTTGTTAATTCAGCTCTGTGTAGTGCCGGAAAGTTCGTTTGGGACTGGCAAAGTATTGTCCGGGGTGAAGGCTTTGTGCCCTCCCCGAGTCCCTCGGCCCCTCCTCGTTTAGGGATGTCTAACGTTACCGAGCATCTCATGGGGTGCCAAATTAGTGACAATAATCCCGAGGGGATGAACGAAGAAGCAATTCTATACAGAGGAAACTCGAGGAACTGTTATAACCCGATAGATTCCTCGATGGTTTCGCAGTCTCTTGCCGAGTATGCTACAAACACGAATCGTTATCCTACAGCATCTCAGTCTCCAAGCCTTGCATCTGGTGTGTGTGAACCCTCGGCTTGCCTGTCTTCTTATGATCAGCTTGATTCCTCGATGTGTGTAGCAGCACCCGGCGACATAAATGGTCTGAAAGGACAACTGGTGATGCTTCTACAACTCTCAGGCGGTTGTATGCCACTCTTGCGTGTTCCCTCTGAATACCAAAAGCAATTCGGTAAACCTCTTTATATATCCGAGTACGGTGTGTTCAAGCTTGTGAATCTTTTTAAGAAGATGGGCGATACCATTTCCGTGGATGGTAAAGGTAACAAAAGGTTTGTCTACCTGCGGAACTGGAAAGCGAACCCTAGCACTACTCCCCCTTTCGTCCTCCTCAGGAGAGACAAGAAACCCGAGGAAAACACAGATGTAAGAGCAGCAGCAAGTAGAGGCTCCTCAGACGAGTTTTCAGACGAGGACAGATTCGCCGCCGAGGCGGCAGCAGCAGCAGCAGCCTCAGGCTCAGGCCCGGCTCAATCCGAGGCAAGTGATAGGAACCTGGAAGAGTTCAAGCAGGAGCTGCAAGAGATCCTGGTGAGCTACTCATGTAAGCTACTGCTGAGCTGTTTCGAGGATATATACCGACTAAGGTACAAGAAGCCATTGGACTACCAAAGGCTCGGCGTCGATAATTTGGAGAAACTCCTCGACATGGTGAGGGACGTCGTTATCGTATACGAAGATCCTTCGACCAAGAGGAAGTTCATCGAGGCGCTTTACTGAGATTGCAGAATCTCGTGCCGAACGTTTTCTCTTCTGTAACCTCTTCGGAGTTTACAGACTAGAGATAAGATTTTAGATCAGACGGTGAGTTTTTTCAGCCGTTGAATCGTTTCTTCCTTTCCTCGCCGCGGGAACAAAGTGATGTATTCTCCATGGGAACGAGCGTGTAAGCTTTTTTACCTGCCGCTGTGTAAGTGTAGCTGAGCAGCTCCCAACTATGTATATTTCTTTTCTGTAGGGCAAACGATTCCGCATATGCTTTTCAGTGATCACTTTGTTTTTGTCGGATTCTATCAGAAAGTTGTGTTCTTTGTGATGCAGACGTTAATAGAAGCATAGAACTGTACCATAAAGATAGAAACTTCACTATTGAGGGAAGAAAATATCTTTCTTGGGACATTGACACATGATGGACCAAAGTTTGTAACTTGTCCAGACAATCAAGGTTTGATCATCATCCACATGATTCCACACACTCAAAGAGGTAAACAAAGACGGGAGTTTCTGATATTCATTCTCTTCCTTTTTCTGCCATTTTCTTTTGTTTTGGGATCGAAAGAAGCTGACGGTGAAGAGGCAAACCCCTTTTTTCAAGTAGAAAGCGCCATGATCTTGCAAATGGGGCAGAGGTTCTTGAGCATAACCCATTGCTTGATGCAGTCTGTGTGGAATTCATGGCCACAGTCTAGTGTTCCGACCTCATCCCCTTCTCCATACTCCTCCTGTCCAAAACGACAACCACTTTCCTCACTTTCCATTACCGAGTTAAGCCGGGAACCCCAAGAACCAGAGCAGAAAACAGCGATTCAGTCAAACCCGAATTACCTACCTTACCTAACGTCCCATTTTGACAGTTTAGAGGACAACTCAAAAAGAAAAAAAAAACACAACCAGTTCTAACTGTATTGAAGCATAAAGGAGATTCATTTTGGTCGGAGACGACACGGGTAAAAGATCGATATCGAAACCCTCTATCTGTTTACGTGTGTCAACAAGTTAGCCATATCTACCCGGAGCACCCCGGGCTCGAGGAGACAGCCGCAAAAACAGTAAAAGCAGTACCATTTTTAAGGTCATACCTGACAAACAGAGCAAGGCTCTACGTCTTGTCCGGTCTCGGCAGCCGAAGATGTGTATTTATGCTGTTTCATCGCTTTCATAATCGTTTCCCCGCTTAGCCCAGTGCTCACGTCTCCTATACGTTCTTCCAGTGCTAGTAGCTCCTATATTCATTGCGGACATCGGTAAAAGGCCAAAGATTTGTAAAAGAAAAAAAGAAATCCACGAAGAAGGAAATATGACCACTCACCTCGTACGACATGCTGTCAACATCAAGACGCATATCCCGATGCCTATCATGCATCTCGGCCATGCCATGGTAGATAAGCGGATCAAACACCATATAGTCCTACCAAGTTAAAACCCGAAGTCAGACACACATATCATAAAAGAACATTCACCACATCTCCATATAATAGCTTTGCATCTCCTAACCCGGGTTCATGTATAGATTCGACTGTTACATTCTCATTCCAGACCCGACTTCTTTATACTACAGGGTCGATATGCATATTATAAGAACCGAGTTATTAGTTCCTATTTAACCGAGAGATCAGTAGCGCTGGTCAACCGAGAAGGTTTGTAACATAGAATCACACCTCAAACTGCGAGTTTTCCCCGCTTCGCATGGCATTCAACACCTGACGTATCTGCCAGATACGAGAAGAAAAAACCCGATTAACTCTTGAAATATACAGTAAAGTATGCATAATGATAAATAATCTGAAGCAATGTTACAGTGGAGAAGAGCAATGTATGTTAAAGGGGAAAGAATATGCATATGATATATGCAAAGTGTAGGCTTTGGGGACTAAAACATACAAAGAGAAGGTTGTTCATGCATGAATGATGCTTTTGCTAAATGGATAATGTGTAAAAGATAAAACAGATAGTCAAAACCTCGAAAATCAGCTGGTTCCTCGCATCGTTGTCAGCAGCTAATCGTCTTCCCAGATGACGCAAGTGGAGAAGATTACTCTGCCTCTCCAATAACAATCCTGATCTCCTCGGCCGTGGGCGATGGCTCCTGCTACTAGTCCCAGATGCCACTGCAGTCTCGTTCAAGGAAACTGAAGGGCCTGTAGGAAGTAAAGGAAGAGAACCACCGTGTCTAGCAGATTCAGATTCAGATTCGACGTTAGAAAATATAGACCACGGAGCAAGTTCTGATGTCCTTGACTGATTATGCATCGAGCTACTTGGGGGGAGAATCCATGCGGGATTCGGCTGCAAAGAATGAATGCTTGGACTCGGCCCTGCTCGAGGAGCGAAAGGATAATCTCCAGACACATTAGGGGTTCCACGGCTGAAACTCCAATAAGATTGATCCAGCACTGGATTTCTCGTTTCGGTTGAGGGTACAAACACGTGATGATGCTCTGAGTTGCTTCTTGGCGATTCTCGTGGTAGTCCGAATTGCCCCGAAGAACTGTTGGATCTCGAACTAGAAGCAGCATTACAAGCAAAATGATGTATATTCCTAGTCAAAGAAGGAAGGTGGATAATATTTGACTGACTCTCATTACTACTGCTGGAGTTGCCACCAATTGATGGTGTTGATCTCACATTCAGAGGATCAAGAAACGGGGAATTCACCGTTAAATGCTGCTGAGAAGAAACACTAGAACGCAAAGAAGTTTCAGCCGACGATGAACTGAACGGTACCGAGTCCTGTTGCTGCCCAGGATTTAACTGCTTGCCATGTCTAGATGAACTGTCTCCGTTTCTCGTAGAAGGGAAAGCATTTGACGTGACAGCCACTCCGAACCTCGGCTCTGACTGACCAGAACGGTTGATAATATTTGGAGAACTTTGCGACCGAATAGACAAACTTAAGTTACTACTAGAAGCACCATATTGTGTATGCCAAGAACCGTTCTCAGTTTGAACAAAGGAGTCAGGGCTTTCGCCGTGAAAAGAATGTCCTGAAGCTCCTTGAAGAGCCTTTCTTTTGCAGGATGTACCCCAACCACCGTCCAGTGAGGAACCCGGACCACCACTGCTCTCCTCGCCAACCTGACTTCCGCTTCTCAATGATCTCTCACAATTATTATTGCAGAGAACAGCCCCCGAGCTCTGCCCACAGCTGCCATTGTTGTCCATGTCCATACCCAGATTTATAGTCGGTGACATACACCTAGGGCCTGAACCTTGCAAGAAAGGCGGTCCATTTCGGACATGACTGCCACCACGGCCAATCTGAAGCCCTCCTGTTGGCCTTATACCAGTCGAAACTGATTTCCCTTCTTCCGAGCCATAGCCAACGTGAGAAGGAACGCCCTCTGAGGCTAGCCGGTGGTCTGTCTTCAATCCAACATCATTGGCCTGATGAGGAGAAGGTCCTAGTCTAGAGCTGGATTCACCAGAACTCAACCAGCCACGACTTTGAAAATCACGAGAACCAGAGCTTACGTAAGTTGACCGTCCTGAAGGTGTACTGTAGTTTGGAAACCGACAGTCCACTGGATTCAAAATGTTATTTGAAAGGGCCTCTGAATTGGTGCTAGAGATGTGTTGCCCGTCACGGTTATTTACTTCAGTAGATGAACTGAGTGTATTCCACGGCCCTTGCATTGGATCCATACCCTCTGATAAGAACTCAACGAATCTACTAAACCCTTAAGGAGTCCTGAAATTGGGCAAGCAGGAGGAGCAGGAAGAAAACAACGAAAACAAATGCATAAGAACACTATGGATGAGAACTCAGAAAGGAAAACACAAATGGAACACATACTCTAACTCTCCTCAATTACCATTGTCATTTTCACTCTGACCAGTTATCTAGACCTAAAGCATCAGCATTATGTGTTGGTTCACCCCCCCACAAGCAACCAAAGATCTGGGACTTTTAAAAAGAAAAAGAAAATGCATCTGATTCAAAATCTGAGCAACCTCAGACTAGAAACTTCCAGTACCCATTGTCAGTTCAGTCAACACAACATACAATCAGCTCACAGAAAAGACCTAAGAAGAACATAACTCTTCCCTGACTCCGCCGACAAGTTCCTCTTCCAAAGTGACCGCTCATGAAGTACTTACATTATCTCAAAATGTCTCCTGGTGAGTGAAATACAGAAGAACGCAGATTTAGTTGAAGGGATTTAAGGTATGATCATGCCCGAATAAAAACTACGGTCGGAATTCCAATACCCTGAAACAGACTAAATCCATCACAGAGAAAGGGGAACGCAATCACCAAAGCACATCAAAATAATATATTCATAATCATGAATTGCACATTCCGATGAAAGAACCACGGAAACAAAATTACCCAGGAAGAAATCGGAGCCAAGTAATCCGATGACGAATTACATTTCCAATCTTGAAACAGAAACCTCAGATGAGTCAACACGATCCATCGGGCTCCCTCGAGCTCTTGCGATGATTCAGAGCTTCAGAAAACCTCTCGACGGTTGGGGAAAAAAACGAGAAAAATCGAGACTATCTGGACAATGAAACAGAGAAATGATCGATCTTCAAGTAACGGTACCGAAAAATTCCCAGAAAGAATCAGATGGGTCTTCAAAGTATCTGTTTATGCCCAGAAAATATTTGAAGGAAATACCTTTTCAACGAAAAAAAGGCGTCTCTTTTTCGAATTGCCGATTCTCGTATTGCTTTTCTGGATGTTTTCTCCTCTCTTCGATTTCCTGTTTCTATTGTTTCAGTCACTTCCGGAATACTTTTCGCGGAAAATGAGAAACCTTTCCCAGAAAACGTAGGAACAAAGAAGAGGAAATGGAAAGAGAAGAAGGAACGGGCTAATTATAAGAAGAAGAAAAAATAAGACGGAACAAAAGCAAAGGATGAGGGGAGAGAATTAAGAACCGTACAGATTACATGTGATATTTAACTTTCCTCCGTTTTTTATTTTTTCTTCCAAAAAAAAAATAATTATAAATTCATCAGATTTTACGATTACCAATTTAACATCTTTCACGCCCTCGTTTAACATAAATAATTTGGTTAGTCCATCGCCATTTCCATTACCATGGGACTTAGCGGATGTCACTTGCCTATGTAAGTGGTGTGATGTTGTCCAAAAATTATTGAACTGTCGTTAGTACATGTATACGGTTGTCCACGTAGCTTTCATGCAGTGACGTGGGTCCCACGCAAACTTTGATTTCCTCGCTAACACATTTTCTATTTTCAGCAATTAACCCTTGACCATATTATGATAAAAACCATCAGAGGAGATGATTTCCTCGCTAACGAATTTTAAACTTGAAACATTTAAGATATATCACTCCGAAGAAAATAGACTTTTTTAATTATAAAAACCTAAATCTATTGTATCTAGTTTATTGTATAACAACGAATTTAATTCGATATAACCTAAATTATTTAAAAAAAAACGTAATGGTTAAAATTGCCTCAATTTATCACAAAAGTAACACAAAAACTACGTTACCATCGACCAACCCAATTAAACATATGTATATATAACAAATTGTAATTTTAAATCTTTTTATATACTAGTTACAAGAGATATTTTTTAAATTGTATAAAAGTAATGCCAATAAACTTATATTATTTAAAAAAACGTTTAAAATTTATTATTATCATGTGATATGTACTGATTTTTTTCTGAAATCGAAATATCAGGAAAAATAAAGATATTGCGACACACACACACACACACACACACATACACACAACACAAACACAGAGACATGTGTTTTATATTATTATATACACACTAGATTTATTATATGGACCATGTACCCAGGCCCATTGTTTCTTGGGCCCAATCCCCTATAATTGAAATCAAACTCGTAACGTACTATTATTTATTTAAATCAAACGCGTACACGTGTCAAGATCTTACGTACTCTCGCTGGATTCTCCAACCGGTCAGCAGCATGAAGAATCTCTCTCTCTCTCTCTCTCTCTCTCTCTCTCTCTCTCTCTCTGTCCGTTAGAAATTAGCTAACATATGTATATGAGTATATCATCGTTAATTATTATAAAACTCTTAACGACTAATTCGAGACTTAAAATGAATTAACTTGTATATCTACACCTGACACCTTGTCTTAATCACGGTCCGTTTAATTAAAAATGACAAAAACTAATTATAAAATGGAGACATTTAGCAAAAACGAGATTATGAAACAGATAATAAATTGATTTAAAAAAAAGGGAAAAAATTATATGGAAATAAATAAATAAATGTGAAAGTGGGGAAACAAAAAGAAGTCTTCCACCAAACCTTCACCAACCACCACACAACACTTCGCACCAAAAGCAGAGTCGATGATCGAACCTCTCTCGTATAAAATACTCTCCTTGTTTTTTTTATGTATACGGAAACATTAAAACTAAACAATACGATGGAAAATATATACGATTTTGATTTGAAAAAATATATTTTTTTTTATAATTAACTGATTAATTCTGTTAAAAAAACTCTAAATCACATAAATACAGCAAGAAAACGAAATATAGAAAGTAAATAACGAAATACCGAAGTATAGAATAAATATGTTAGGCTCGGCAATTTCATAAGATAAAACACTTAATTTTTGTTTTTGTGTTTCATCATTTAATTATTACAATGATTTCCTAATCCTTTCACCAACCTCATGGGGCCCACAAACTCTCTGCCACCAACCCCAAACCGGGGAACGAAATCCGCCGGTTCGAACCGGTCTCTTTTTCTTCCTTTATATACATGCCCCTTTGTGCTTGCTTATAATGCCATCCCACATCCATCTCGCCAGATAATCTCCATTAAAGCAGAGATATTAACAGAGAGAGAGAGAGAGAGAGAGAGAGAGAGAGATGGCGACGAATGCGGAAACGACGACGAAGACAACATCGAACAATGGGGAAGAACAACAACAGCAATCTCAGGCTCTCAGACACCAAGAAGTCGGACACAAGAGTCTTCTGCAGAGCGATGCTCTGTATCAGGTCTGTGTGTGTATATGCACATACGCATGCTTATAAAACGTTCAAAGCTTCATAATCCGATAAAAAATCTATAATTTTCTTAATGGGTTCGATCCAAATCATGACCTTTCTGAATTATACATGATCTGTGTGTAGTATATACTGGAGACAAGTGTGTATCCGAGAGAGCCAGAGTCGATGAAGGAGCTCAGGGAAGTGACAGCGAAACACCCCTGGTAATTTCTTATGAATCCAAACACCCTCTTTGCCTTCTTTTTGATTCCTTTTGTTTACTCTGTTTCTGATTCGGAGAAAGAAAACGAAAAAACAGGAACATAATGACAACATCTGCAGACGAGGGGCAGTTCCTGAACATGTTGATAAAGCTGATCAACGCGAAGAACACGATGGAGATCGGCGTTTACACTGGCTACTCTCTCCTCGCCACCGCTCTCGCCCTCCCCGACGACGGCAAAGTATACATACATACATACATACACTCCCGTGTATATATATATTCATTCTCCGTTCCCAGATGTTTCTGGGTTTTCTGTCGATGATGTTCAGTGTTTTTCTTCTTCTCCAGATTTTGGCAATGGATATTAACAGAGAGAATTACGAGCTGGGTTTGCCAATCATTCAGAAAGCCGGAGTTGCCCACAAGATCGATTTCAGGGAAGGCCCTGCTCTCCCCTTTCTCGATCAACTCGTTGCTGACGTAAGCATCTCTTCCCTTGTTCTTCTTATTCTTCCTTTTTTTTTAACCGAATGCAATTAATGTGTAAATTTATTGTATTAAAGGATGATTAAAATAACAAGAATATGTTTCTCTTTCGGCGTAAATAAACTCGTAACGCTTATCTCCAAAAAAAAATATCTAATCATAGCAATCACATTTAAAAAAAAACGAAATTTACCATGAAAAAAACTAAATTAGGTGATTAGGACAAAGTTTGGTCTGGGAATCAAAGGGGTGTTTTCAGACCTAAATATATAGCACTCGAGAGAGACTAATATTCGACCAAACTAGTTGTAATTCCCAATATATGAAGTATTTTGGACGGAAGGGAGAAATGATAGGGTGTGATGTGGTGCAGGAGAAGAACCATGGAAGCTATGACTTTATATTCGTTGACGCGGACAAGGACAACTACTGGAACTACCACAAGCGGCTGATCGACCTCGTGAAGGTAGGGGGAGTGATCGGCTACGACAACACCTTGTGGAACGGCTCCGTCGTGGCGCCTCCCGACGCTCCTATGAGGAAATACGTCCGTTACTACAGAGACTTCGTGATCGAGCTCAACAAGTCCCTCGCTGCTGACCCTCGGATCGAGATCTGTATGCTCCCCGTTGGCGATGGCATCACTCTCTGCCGTCGGATCAACTGACTCTCCTTCTCTTCCCTCTGTGCCTCGTCACACCTGATTATCGCTCCCCCCACCCTTCTCCCGTGCTCCACCTAATAAAAAAAAGTTCTTTTAATTGATATTTTCATGTTTTTTTTTCCTGAACAAATTAAGAAATATTTGCCTTTGGTTGATTTCGATATATAAGAGAGTTTATCATATTTTTGTGGATATTTAAATTACAGCCCAACTGAATCCAGTCAATTAAAATTGAATATTTATTTATTTATATTCAAAATCAGAAATAATGGTAACCAAATAAATCGAAGCGAACGATTTGCTAATGTTATATTTACCAATTAACAGGCCAAATATGTTAAATTTAAATAGAGAAATTAACCTAACAGAAATCATACTAATATGAGATTTAAAAAAAAATTGTAATAGCATTTTTGAATATTTTGCAAAACATCAAATGAAATATGTTCGAAAAATTGACGATGCAGAATCCATTGTAATATTGGAGAGTCTTCCAACAAGATTGGAACTGTAAAGTGTTCGACACCATCGTCAATGCACAGATTCAATCAAACTGTATCAAACACAAACCTTAACAAAATCTAAAAGTTTTGTTTTTTAGTTTCACACAGACCCAATCAAACTAATCAAGCAAATCCCAAAAAAAAAAAAACCAAACAGATATTTTTTTAAGAAAGGATGTTGTCGCTGAGGGACAAGGAAGCGAGCTGCTCGGCCGCAACCGCACCACCGGAGGAAACACTCCTAAGAACATCCATGGCCTCAGCCACTTTGGCCTTGAGAGCTTCCGGCGACTCCAGCAGGTGCAGCACTTCGGTCTGGTCCATCTCCAGCAGCATCCCTGTCACCTTAGCTGCCGCTTCCGGCTCCACCTGCTCCACCATCGGGTACAGATTCTCTCCCAGCATCTGTGTAACCGGAAACTAAAACGAATAAAAAACGGATCGTTTCTCGACAGGGGGAAAGACAAGAATTCGCGAGGTTTCTGACCGTTCTCTGCTGCTCGGGAGTAGCATTAGCAAGAGCAGAAGCCAGCGCTCCGATAGGAACAGGCTGATGAGAGAGCACGGGCTCTCGCAGTGGCATGTTGGTCATTTCGTATGGAAGCATTCCAGACATGGCAGGGGGGGCATCCGGGCTTCCGCGCCCAGGTGGGTACCGGTACATCCGGCCCCTTGGAAGCATCTGATAAAACCCGAGAGTAAAAATCATCAGAATACCCTGACAAAAACAACTGTATCGGAAAAATCACAGGCAATGTGAACCCTAAAACGAAGAAAAACCTGTTGCTGCATCATGGGAACTGGCTGCTGGGTACCACGTCTTCCTCCAGGACGCTGCTGGCCTGGCTGAACCATTGGCATGAAGAAGTTGGGAACGGGTGAACCGCCAGGTCTCATTCCAGGAACAAGCTGCTGCTGGTAGCCGAACCCAGGCTGACACCAAGATTCATAGGATCCGATAAAGATCATCCAACGGTTTTGAAACATATGAAAAACCCGAATATAGAACACGATACTATGAAACCGATATTATCCCACCAATATAAGTCAAGGTCTCAAAAGTTGAATATAGATTCAAATTCCCATGCTCTACATCGGCAAGGCCTCAAACCATCGAAACAGAGCTAAAACACAGAGTAAAGCATTTTCGCATCTCTTGTACTTCACTGTATGTGTTGGAATCTAAGCCATAGGCCAAAACCACAATGTATATCTCCATACACTGACTACATACATGCATTTGTTACGAAAACCGCAAAAAACAGAGACTAAGTTTACCTGAGGAGGAATCATGGTGGAAGGGGGAGCTTGGCCATAGAATATCTGCTGTCCGATGCCAGGACCAGCTGGGGGATACATCGGCATACGAGGACCAGCAGATGGCGGCATCACCGGCCTCAATTGGGCAAACTGGGCCTGTTTCAAGTCATGTCCATACTCACTGTTATATGAACGTGGAAAATAGATGGTCCATGCAACCACACCCTTTATAGTAATGACAGATATGATAATCAAACTAATATCCATTCCTATCGAGGTTTCTCGTTCTATTCAATCTCTAAAAGTAAACAAGTAAACAATTAATTAATAAGCAATATATGTTTATCGATGCTTGCACGCAAAGATATCACAGTACAATTAGTGAATTTTCTAAAAAGAAACCACGTAGAAACTTATATATTCATGACAACCAACAATACTTCCATCGTATAAATTTTTTTTTTAAGTTTGGAATGACACGAGACTGAGCAAAACTTCTGCATGCATCAGTCTTAGTGTAGGAAATGCTTACACTGTCGGGTCATTTCAAGTCAAAACTTTAAAGAACCGGAAGCAAGAATCAATGAACAATCAAACAGATGCGGGCAAAAAAAAACTTTAATTACATCACCGGATAAGGTGGTTTCAAGAAAACAAACCTGCAGTCTGGCCCTTCTGTCTTCCTTCCGCTGAGCAATAGCAACATAGAGAGGTTTGCTTACAATCATTTTGCCATTCATCTCCGACATCTGTCAAAACAGATATTGTTACTAACAGTTGAAGTATCTGTTGCAAACACATGAACTCTATGAGAAATTATAACCAAACATACAGCTTTGGTGGCCTCTTCAGCAGTCGAGAAAGCTACAAAACCTGAGCCTTTGGTAACTCCACTAGGGTCCCGCATCACCTGTTATATTAAAGGAAACACCTTTTATATAATTAATCAACGAAATTAAACTCTCTAAGAAAAAGGGTACTGAACCTTGCATGATGTGATGGTGCCAAAAGGAGAGAAGAGTTCTTTAAGCTTCTCGTCGGAGATGCTGTCATCTAAGTTCTTTACATACAAGTTTGAACCTTGAAACTTCTCAGCAACTTCCTTAATATTCTGCTCATACCGAAGCCTCAGCTCCATTTCTCTCTCAGACTTCTTCTGCGCTCTACCAACATACCATTCCTTATCATCAAACGTTTTCCCATTGAGAGACTCCACTGCGTTACCAGCATCATCAGCGCTCTCAAAATTAACAAACCCAAATCCCTTCGACTTCCCATCTCCATCCTTCATTACCACAGCACTTGTGATCTGTCCAAACTCGCCAAAAATATTCTTCAGGTCATCATCAGTAGTGGATTCTGCAAGATTCTTCACAAACACGTTGGTGAATTTCGTTTTGTTCACAGCGGATTCTCTTTCTTGCCTCCTGAGGAAGGGTCCCACATACACTTGCTTGTCGTTCAGCAACATGCCATTCAATTGCCCTATAGCTCTCTGGGCAGATTCCTCATTGTCATATTGCACAAACCCATAGCCTCTTGATTGCCCTGAAGAATCGGTAACCACCTTGCAGGAGAGAATGTTCCCAAATGCAGAAAAGGTATCATGCAGTGCTTTGTGGTCGATGGACTTGTCCAAATTCTGCCCATATTTTTAATCAGGTTTAGCGCAAGAGGAAAGGAAGGAAAAGTGAATCAGGCACAAAGTTAAAAAGAAAACAGTTTCTTGTCCGAAAATAAAGCAGGACAAGAACAAAATTCAATTTTTTATTCAAGGGACCGACTATTGACTAACCCCGAGATATTTGTTAGAAAAGGAAAGTGATTAGGCAAACAAGGAAAGAAAGCACATGGACAAGAATACCTTGATAAAAATGTTTCCTTGACCACTTCGACGGATACTAGGATCACGATGAGAATACATGACCCTAATGGACTTTCCATTAAGAGTCATGAAATTCAGTTCTTGGATCGCTCTTGCAGCTGCCACAAAGACACAACATACAGTCCATCAGACAATAGAAGCACAAAAGACAAAACTTTGGCACCGAATAAGCTTCTCATAACAGCAATCACACCGTGCAGAAATCATCCATACTTAGGCAGCATAACCACTACCAATATCTGCACATTCTATTTCAACACTATGAACCAAAGTGGCATAAATATGTCCTCAATGACACAATAGATAAAATAAACAACCATTTCCCTGAAGTTCTGGTTCTCACGTCTTACCCTAAAACATTTTCAAAGCCAAATTAAAGCAATGTATCCAATATATTCCTCAAAAGGAGGTAAAAAAACCAAACTTTTTGTTCTCCGACAAACTGGTTCCGACCCAGTATCTAATTCTCAGAAACAATGACTAAAACCAGTACAATTGGGCAAACCCTGAATCCCTGATAGTTCCTAAATTGTATCATCGTATCTAAACCCTAATGATCAGAAACCAATTGTTTCCAAAGCCCTAATTCATTCTCCAGGAGAAATGAGCATGTATTAATCAAATTGAATGAGCCCTAATCAAGAGACTAACCATCTTGAGGGTTGCTGAAGTTGACGTATCCATAACCAAGCGACCTCCGGGTGGCTAAATCACGACAGACACGAACCGAAACCACCTGACCCACTTGGCTAAAGACATCGAAAAGCTGCGAGTCGGTCACGTTCGCCTCCAGATCCCCGACATAAAGCGACGTCGTACCGAACTGGGCACCCGACGCCGGAGGAGCCGCCGCTACCGAACCGTTCGATGTCTGTGTCGGAAGCTGAACCTGAGCCATTTCTCTCACCAAAAAAACAAAACAAAAACACACACACACACTCTTTTTTTGTTTCTTTTTTGAAATTAATTTTTCTCTTTTTTTGGATTTTCTTCAATCTTCCCTCCCCTCTCGAAATTTCACTGCAAAAGCAAATAGAAAACCCTAAAAACAAAACGACACACCAGAACAGTAAACCGGAAAAATAAAGCGACGATTTTTATCTTTTCTGGTTTTTTTTGGATAGTGGAGGAGAGGGAAGAAGAAAGCGTAAACACAATTGCCGGCGGCGAGGCCTGCGGCGGCGCGTGAGATAACAACGATATGGCGAGAGAGCTTTGGGGAAATTTGGAAAGGGCAAAGCATTAAATGGGTACAATTTTCTGTATTTATATTAAAAAATATTTATTATTTATTTATTTATTCACTAGAAACAGAACCGAACCCTAGAAATGATAAAGAAAGATCTCAGCCGTTGGATTCGGTCTGAAATAAACGTAGGATGTTTACAGTTGCTGATAGGGGTAAGGCTTTTTGTCTTCACCTGGCTCGAACACGCGCAAGTGAGCGCGTGATAAACACGATCGAATGCTAGAATTTACACGTACACGTCTGTATGTGCAGATGTGTGTAAAAGGAATGGGTATTGCTTCCTTAAGTTATTATTAATTTGATGTGGCCAACTCAAGAAATATTCTTCATACAACTGTGATGATTTCTTTTTCTTAACTCTAATTTAAATATTTATTATTTTTGTTTTAAACAAATTTTATGTTTAGCTGTCTACAAAAATACGTACCAGATTGAGTAATTAGTTTTTTTTAATCGTAATAACCATGGTTACATCTAAAAATTTTATCATCCTATTCTAACGGCAACATTATACAAAATGGATATTTGGGTATATTACTGTTTATCTATTTTTTTTATAAATTATATACATGCTTTTTTTATCATAAATTTTAGTTCGATCTAGTTTGAATTCAATTTTTATTAATAAAATATTTAGTTTTGATAAATTTTTATTTCATTTTATTTTTATATTCAATTCATGCAATTTAGAATATCATAATCAATCATTTTTAAAATTAAAGTCGTTTTATATGACGTTTTATTCTTTCGGATTCGGTCTTGTATATAAAAAAATATAATTTATCCTTTATGAGATTTGAATTCTATATTTTTTTAGAAAAGAAATAAAAACATGAAACCATTACCACTGAATCATAAAGTTTCACTTCATAATATAATTTTCGAAAAAAAAAATCCTCTAAAACTAAATATATAAAATCGAATGGGCGTGGAATCTAAACGGAAATGCTGGATTTTTATATAAAAAAGGTGATTTGAACAAATTCGGTTCATAAATTTAGGACCGACTTGGCAGGAAACTAATATCTATGGAGCCCCCCGCCTTTCCAATCACAAGTTGCAACTTCTGCGGAATCACTGCCCAATCACCTCTGCACCATTCTTTCCCGACCTTCTCTCAAAATCTATTAAAAAAAGGTTTCTTTTTTCTTTGACTGAGTAAATTATAGGAGGAAACTCGGTCATGGGTTCGATCTCGTTGCCCAATTCTCTACCCATAACTCGGGTTCCAGTAGTTACATCACCAGTCAAACAATGCCTGTCTCAGTGCCGTCCTCTTCTCCCTAAACGCCGTCGTTCCGCTTCCCACGCCGACATCAAATCGCCGCTCGTCGCCGCCTCCGTCAGATACTCCGTTCCCGTGAGTAAAAATTGGATCTTTTGGATGCCCTTTTGCAGCTTAGCCTCAAATTCGAAAGCTTTCTTGTCTGTCTGCACAAACATATGAACGTTGCTGGGATTTGTCCCGTTGTGGGTTTTGCGTTTTTCAGGCAAAAAATGGAACTTACACAGTTGGGGATTTCATGACACGGAAAGAGGATCTGCATGTTGTTAAACCCACAACTTCGGTCGACGATGGTAATTTAGTTTTACACGGAAAGAGGGTATTATGATACGTTTCTTCTTGTCTTCCCCAAAAGTGTTTCTAACTATGCTTGCTTATTACAGCATTGGAGATTTTGGTGGAGAAGAAAGTCACAGGATTGCCTGTAGTTGACGATGATTGGAATCTGGTAAACTGTTTAGTTAAGAGCTTTAGGTTAAGTTTTGCAAATTCATGTAGTTTTGTGATTTCCATTGTAAATATTGCCTTGGCATATAGATTTAGGTTGCAAATTTAGCTGTTCTTAGATAGTTGTCCGGTCGATTACTTTTAGTATTCGATATTCAGCTCCATGTCTTTTGGCCGGACAACTCTTTTGTCTGTTTGAGATTGGCTCATCTGCGGTAACTGTTGATGTAGGTCGGTGTTGTTTCTGATTATGATTTGCTTGCACTGGACTCCATTTCAGGTAAATGTAAAGGAGTTTTGAATATGAATGGTTCTTGTTTTGAATGCCAGTATGGTAAAGCAACTTACTCTATCATTTCGTCGTGGAAACAGGCCGCAGCCAAAGTGATGCTAGCATGTTTCCTAATGTCGACAGTTCCTGGAAAGTACGTTCCTCTTATCCTTCTCGATTTGGAGTTTGTTGTTAGCTTACCTTCATCGTCCTTAATAGTCACTGGTCATATAGTTAGTGTTAGTGTATACTTATCACGTATATCTTTGTATATGTCCTGTGAACTTGTGGTTTCGTGTTTTTGCTAATACGATTGTGACACCTGCTGCTTTTCCTATTTGCCCGAGACTATTCGGGTGTATTGCCCATTCTGATATATCTATGGTTTTGATTTTGCAGACATTCAATGAACTCCAAAAACTGATCAGCAAAACATATGGAAAAGTCATCGGGGACTTGATGACACCTTCTCCTCTTGTTGTCCGTGAAACTACCAATTTGGAGGATGCAGCCAGGTACCGTATGTTCTATGTTTCCGTTAATCTCTCCTACAATATCTTTCCTGTTTCTATCATAAGAAAGAACGGGAATGTGCCCTCCCGCCTGTTTTGCTTTTTGGGCTTGAAAAGAGAGAGGAAGTAATATCGACATTGCACCAATATCCCATCATTTTCGGCATCTGGCCTTTGAAAAGTTTCTATAGTAGGATGAGAAGTTTGAATCTTTCAGTTCGTAACAAGTGAGGACACTCCAAGATATTGGCGAGAAGATGAACACTTTTTGCAAATCTTTCTCTCACAAATTTTTATACTCTGTTCTTCCAATAAAACCCCTTAAATCAGAAAAGTTAGGACCTTTTTCCTCTTTAGAGTATATACAATGCACAAATCTCTTCTACCCGCTCTCTTTGTATCTTATATAAAAGATCAAACAGTTTTAGGAGCACTTTTTTATGCGTCTGATCATTGGTATTACCTCTAATGAGCATGGCAACAAAAGGTATGAGATCTTCAAACATCTTGATCAGGTTGCTGTTGGAAACCAAATACAGGAGATTACCAGTTGTGGATGCAGGTGGAAAACTGGTGAGAATCTCTCAAATCATGTCTCGGTTTCGTTTTTTCTTGTCTTGATGAGTTGCCTGATGTTTTTTTCGGCCCGGTTTTTGTTGTTTGCATAACAAGATTGGAATCCTTACGAGGGGAAACGTCGTGAGCGCTGCGCTCCAGATCAAACGGGAGAACGAGAAGCCGAGATAGAGAGAAAGAATCACTAAGCAAATCCTTGGGATTGACTAGTATATGTAAGCATTTTTGTATGTATCTGATATATAGGCAAACTTCAAGTCTTAGCATTTCAATCTCTTAATCATGTCATCACCTTAAAGTTCAATACTTTTTATTGATTGAAGTGTTGAACTTTCACAAAGATAATGATTAAGAGACTGAATTAGGAAACACATGCAATTTGCTTGGTGAAATAGTAAACAGAATGACCAAGAATTCCAGGTTTTTTGTCTGCAGAATCCGATTCATTATCTCATGGAGACAAGTTAATACAGAGATTTAACAACAGGGAGATATAACAATCAATCACAGACATCTGAAAATGAAACTCATGGACTGGTTCTGGTCCTGCTTTCTCTGAACAACCTAAGATCTTCCATTAGCCTGTTCAGATCACTGTAAGAACACCCTCCTTTCTCGACGGTGGCTTTGGCCATCTGGGCAAGCTCCTTGGCCCGTCTCCTCCTCTCCTCGGCTGCTTCCCCCACCATTACCGCCTTCACCGCCTTCTCCACTTTGTCTCTTCCCGTGAAATCTCCCACAAAGTTGACCCACTTCCTCTCTCCGACCCTAACTCCTGTTTTCAGCACTTGAGTTATCAGCTTCTCGTTGTAGAACTGCTCCGCCCCAACCGGCCATGTCACCATTGGCAAGCCAGCCGCCACGCCTTCCAAAACCGAGTTCCAGCCACAATGCGTCACGAATCCACCGATTGCTTGGTGGTCGAGAATCAGCATCTGCGGGGCCCACCCACGAATTATCAGCCCTTTCCCTTTGATCCTCTCCTCGTACCCTTCTGGTAACCACTCTTCCTTCTCACCTGTTCAGCCACAAAAGGTACGTTCAAATGAACTCATCTGCAAGCAAGAAGAAACCAGACAAGAATATATCTAAATTTCTGAAAAAGATGGATCTAGATTCTGTCTTCATTACCTTTGCCACCATTTTTCATGACAACCCAGATGAAATCTTGTCCTGAACCTTCCAACCCTGCTGCGATCTCTTTCAACTGTTCGTTCGTGAATTTAGCCATACTTCCAAAAGACACGTAAATTACTGATTCTGGTTCTTTAGAATCAAGCCATTTGAGGCACTCATGCTCATCAATGCTCGCCTTTTTCCCCCTCTCAGCTTTCTCCTCGAACCCTCTGTTGCATAGTGAAAGCGGACCGACATTCCATGCCCTCTTTGCCACGAACCTCTTATAGAAATCAGCATAATCAGATTCAAGCTCGTAGAAGGTGTTCATCAGGACACCATAGCTGAGTTTCTCCGAGTCCTTGACCTCTTTCATAAACTTCCCCATTTCGCTATCTTCATTGTGATCCATGACCTGATCTGCTGTAATGACAATGTTTCCGGGAAGATCAGGGATCACAAAGCGTTCAGAACTGGAAGCAACCTTCTTGTGTGGCTTATGAAGTCTGATGCAATAAGAAGCGCTCAACGCGAAGTAGCACGTGCCGTGGAACACAAGTCTCGGGACGCCGAACTTTTCCGAAGCGTCAGTGGCCCAGGGGAAGAACATGTCGGCGACCAGACAATCCGGTCTGGCTGTCTCGATGAGGTGCTCCAACTGATCTTTGAGGAACTTGGTCGAGAAGAAAAGCTTTTGAACCATAGGGAATATATCCCCAGTGAAGTTTGAGTGGATGAAATCGACGCTTTCGCATCCTTCGGGCAATCCTAGCTCTGGGCAAGGGAAATTTAGGATCTCGATTCCGATGTCGGAGTCCGGATTCTTGTTCTTGAACGCTTCGATTGGTCTCTGAAAGATGGGAGCATTGAGAGGGGTTGTAAGAATCGTTGATTTGACTCCTCTGCTCGCGAAAAGCTTCGCCATGTCCAGGGTCGGTATCATGTGGCCATGCGCCATGAAGGGGAAGAAGAAAACATGAAGCTGATGAGGAACTTCACTGCCCATGTATGGCTGCCGAGAAAATAAAACCTGGGTTTTGCAGAGGGAAGCAGAGAATCTCAGAAAAATGAAAACTTTTTTCCCGAGAATTGTCTCTCCACTGAGAAAATGAGAATAAAAGCCGAAACTAGTGCAGCTACTCTGTAGACGCAGAAAGTGTCTTCTTGTGGTTTTGGATGAGCTTTACAAGTTTCAACAAGCTATATATATACACATATAATAGTGGACTTCGAGAGTTGATTCTTACGTCATCGTATGCGTCATTTTTTCCCTTGTCACTGCATGCGTCATTGTTTTTCTTTTGGGAGTTCGATACTTTGGTTAGTGTGGGTCGGATTTGTTACCTATTTATTCATTAATTTGTCAATAATTTTCTCAAATATAGAGTGCTTAAATCACTACATAGAAATAAGAAATTAAGAATAGTGAGATTTCATATAACAACTTTTATTCTTATTTAGGCACACAATAGAAATTATTAAATTTAATTCATACAAAGAAGTATCTAATTATTAAAGATATACAACATATTTGATTTTTTTTGTCTCTATTACTTTGAGTTAAATTTGTTTTATCATTTATTCTATAGTCAAAACTTTTCTAGGAGATTATTGTAAGACTCTGGAGTGTAATTTAATATTATTTGGAGAATTATGAGAAATGGATTTTTGAAATCTATATAGATAAATAAAGATACTTGAAGGCTTATCGTGAAGATACTTAAACATTCCATATGGTAATTTTCTTCGTTTCTATTGGTTTATAAACATGTTCATTAGTTTTAACTACATGAAAAATATCAATTGACTAATTAATGACAAAAAAAATATATCATTAGTTATCATGATGAAGAAAAAATAAAAACCTCCATCTTTGTAACATAAAAAATATTATTAGTTATTTCGATAATATTATTCAAATTACAAAATTAAAATATAATATTATATAATAATCTTGAAAAAATGCTAAAAGAAAAATATCAATAGAAATCTAGGTGGAATCTTTCTAGAAATCCCATTTCAATATAAATCTTTAATAAAAAAAATATTATTAGTTATCTTGATGAAGAAAAATTAAAAAAATTCATCTTTGAAATATAAAAATATTATAGTAAAAATTAAAAAATTCCATATTTATAATATAAAAAATATTATAGTCTTCGTTATTAGTTATCTTGATAATATTATTCAAAATATAAAATTAAAATATAATATTATATAATAATTTTGAGAGAATGATAAAAAAAATATCAATAGAAATTTAGATTGAATCTTTATAGAAATCCAGATTCAATAGAAATATTTAATAAAAAAATTTATTAATTATATTGGTAAAAAAAAATTAAAATATTCAATCTTTGTAATATAAAAAATATTATTAGTTATCTTGATAATATTATTCAAATTAAAAAAATTAAAAAATAATATTATATAACAATCTTGAGAGAATGCTAAAAGAAAAATATCAATAGAAATTTTGGTAGAATATTTACAGAAATCCCGTTTCAATAGAAATCTTTAATAAAAAAAATATTATTAGTTATCTTCATGAAGAAAAAATAAAAATTATATCTTTGTAATATAAAAAATATTATTAAATTAAAAAATTCCATCTTTGTAATATAAAAAATATTATAGTTATCTTGATAATATTCCATCTTTGTAATATAAAAAATATTATTAGTTATCTTGATAATATTATTCAAATTACAAAATTAAAATATAATATTATATAATAATCTTGAGAGAATGATAAAAAAATATATATCAATAGAAATCTAGATGGAATCTTTCCAAAAATTTCGGTTCAATAGAAATTTTTAATAAAAAAATATTTTTAATTATTTTGATGAAGAAAAAATAAAAAATTCCATCTTTGTAATATAAAAAATATTATTAGTTATCTTGATAATATTATTCAAATTATAAAATTTAAATATAATAATATATAATAATTTTGAAAGAATGATAAAAGAAAAATATCAATAAAAAGCTAGGTGAAATATATCCAGAAATCACGGTTCAATAGAAATCTTTAATAAAACAAATATTATTAGTTATCTTGATGGAAAAAATAAAATGTTCATCTTGTAATATAAAAATATTATTAGTTATCTTAATAATATTATTCAAATTACAAAATTAAAATATAATATTATATCATAATCTTTAGAGAATGATAAAAAAATATACATCAATAGAAATATAGGTGGAATATTTTCAGAAATCCCGATTTAATAAAAATCTTTAATAAAAAAATATATTATTAGTTATCTTGATGAAGAAAAAATAAAAAATTCCATCTTTGTAATATAAAAAATATTATTAGTTATCTTGATAATATTATTCAAATTACAAAATTTAAATATAATATTATATAATAATTTTGAAAGAATGACAAGAAAAATATCAATAGAAAACTAAGTCTAATCTTTCCAGAAATTTCGATTCAATAAAAATCTTTAATAAAAAAATATTATTAGTTATTTTGATGAAAAAAATTAAAAACTCTATATTTGTAATATAAAAAATATTATAGTTATCTTGATAATATTCTATCTTTGTAATATAAAAAATATTATTAATTATCTTGATAATATAATTCAAAATTTAAAATTAAAATATAATATTTTATAAGAATATTTAGAGAGTAGTAAAAGAAAAATATCAATAGAAATCTAGATGGAATCTTTTCAGAAATCTCGATTCAATAGAAATCTTTAATAAAAAAATATTAATTTTGGTGAAAAAAATTAAAAAAAAAATCTATCTTTGTAAGAGAAAAAATATTATTAATTATCTTGATAATATTATTCCAATTAAAAAATTAAAATAGAATATTATATAATAATCTTAAGAGAATGATAAAAGAAAAATATCAATAGAATTCTGTTAGAATCTTTTCATAAATCCCGATTCAATAGAAATCTAGGTGAAATTTTACAAAAATCTCGGTTCAATAGAAATATTAATAAAAAAAATATTATTAGTTATCTTGATAAAAATAAAATAAAAAACTTTATCTTTGTAATATAAAAATAATAATAATAAAATATTGATACATTAATCATAAAATAATAATAATAATAATAATAATAATAATGAAATTCATTGATATGAACATAACAAAAATTATATATATATAAAGAAGTGAAAAAATGAAAGAATATAGATAACATTATATTATTATATTATAAAATTATTTTTATATACGTGTTGAATATTAATTTTTTTATATTTTTTTATTGTGAAGTGTACGGTTCAATCAATATAATAGGTCAGATTTTTTGATATTTTTTATGCATATATTCATATAATAATAATAATAATAATAATAATTCATATTAAAACAATTTTTATATATTTTATTAAATAAACTTATCTACTCATCCAATATATTATGGAGAGAATTTTCAATAAATTATGTGTACAGAAAATTAAAATGAATCACGAAAAAAAAATTTGATGCAAATGAACTCAAAAGTAAATATGGATACATTGAAAAGTTGAATAAAATTATTTTTAGATGATTTTTTAAATAAAAATGAAGTTTGAAACAAAAAATAAAATCCAAATTAAACCGTAATTCAAAGCAAAAGAATATACTGTATTAGTATACAATTTAAAAATAAAAAAATGAAAAACACGGAAAACGATTTGTAGAGAATGCGCGTAGCAAACTGATAGCTTCGTCA